AATGTCCTGAAAGGGCAATTCTGTAGAATTTACAAAAATTGCACAAACAAAAAGGACTACATCTTACAAAGTCATTTACTGAAAGACAAGTTTGTCAAAAAAGGTTACCCCTTAAACCTCAATAAGGCCCGTGACCACTTCATCACCAACACCCCAGCACTAAGAGACAACAAAAAAACCAAGCGCCAGTCCACCAACCCGTTCCGATGTAGGCTGCACCATCCGACCCCTCCACAAACGCATAGGTGAACACAGGAGGTTCATTGAAAAGGGGTGCACAGAACACAGTGTCCCACACCACTTCCTCCTGAAACTCCACAAAAGTACTGAACACCTAAAAGTCTTTGCGATTGAGCAGATCCCCGCCAAACTCCCCCCTTCAGAAAGATTCCACATTTCTTTTCCTTGGGCCACCCACTCCCTTTTGAAGTTCCTTATTGGCTCACATTCTAGCCTCCTTCACTTCACTTTTTTTCCTTCCCCCATTCTTGACAGCTCCTATGTAATTTTCCACACTTGCCGTCGTTCACTTCATTTACAATTTCCTCCCCGCCCCCTTCAACAACTCCACCCACTTCACCACATTCAAAAACCGTTCATTTCCCGACAACTGTCTCCTCACTCTTTGGCTTGATAAAGAAGACAAGCTCTTCGAAACGCGTGGCCGCCCTGCAATTGCTACACCAGACCTCACACACCTCTGTTGTTTCCGTCTTAACCCGCTCCATCCCAAAGAAACACTGCTCGTTGTCACCGGGCTCCCCGCTCCTGCCCTCGAGCGTTGGAGTCTCACCACTTCGACCGGCCCTCCTGGCCGCAACTTCCATCGCTAGGCAACCACCCCCACTACCATCTCTTTTTTTCCCCGAACACCCGCCGCCGGTCAGCGAGCGACACAGTCTCCGCCCCTGATTCACTCGGTGTCCAGACTTAAACAGATTGGCCTCTTCCAGCCGCCAGCACAGCCAGCCTGTCATCCCACATTACCCCTTACAGTTCTGCCAGCACCCACCAGACCTTTTTACTGTGCCGTTCCACAACCAGCGGTCCCCCTCTACCCAGGATTCCTGCCACACATGCCCAGGCTATCACTAACACTGAGCCCCCCTCAGCCCCCACGGCAGTGACAAACCCCCCCCCAATTTGCTCACACATCTCTTGTGTCTTGAGTGCCTACCACTCTCACCAGTCAAGGACCCATATCCATCCACCCCTCGCCGATGATTACGCGCAATCATCCATCCATTGGTAAGTTGCTCTAATTCCCTATTTTGGTTATATTCAGTCAATATATGGTAGTAGCGCTTCTGTACTCCTTTTTTTGTACCTCTTGGTAAACGACGGAAACCCCAGTCCGCATTTCTAAGAAGAAGCAGAGAACCCATGCACAGATCTCCTGCTGATCGGAGCAGTACAGAACAGAGGTCACTATTGTGACATGTGTCCATCCAGTTTTTTCTCAAAAAAACTGAACCTACCAGACCTAAGTTAGGTCTATGCAGAGTCGGTTGTAAGTGGACATGTGTCCATTTACATCAGATTATCTCCAATCTGTCACTATCAAATCTGCCAAAACAGAACTCTGTTCCATTTGGTGTTCCTGACCTGGCTGGAGTCGGGGGTAATCGAATGTAAATGGACGCATGTCCGTTTAGATCTGGCTGCCCATAGACTAACATTACGCTTCTGATCAGATCTCCCTGAAAAACTGACAGGCTGACCTGATCAGAGCGCCTGTCTAAAAGGGACCTTAGATTTGATCTGTTAGATCAGCAGAACATTTACCAATAACTAATAATGTAGCACATGAACACACCTAAGAAATATGTTCACTGAATATATTTCTTAGGTATGTTCATATGCTGCATTCAGTTTCCATCCAATCAGGTTGGACATCATACTACATAGTTATTGGTAAATGTTGCTGATTTAACAGATCAAATGTAAGAAATGCCATATGCTGGCCATAATACACACTTTGATTTTTTTTTTTTTTTAATCTGATCGGCCATTTGATCAAAACATTGAATCAGTTGGGAATTGGAAACAATTCTTCAGCTCATTACCAGCGAAAAATGCTTTTACATAGATGAAGTCCAACTTAATGGCAAAATCTTTCAACTGTAACTGTGAAAATCGTCATTTGTGCATTGATTTATTGGTTTGTTCAACATAGAAAAGCCACAGATAACTCATCCTTTTTTGGGGGGGGTGGGGGGTGGTAGGGTACTTGAATTCTATTGAAATGATTCAGGATATATGAATCTCTTGAGCCATGGTTCGCAAAAAAAAAGGAGACTTTTCAATTCATCTTGGACTGGATTCCATTAAGTCAGAACATCATTGATTATCATTTGATAGGTTTTAGTGCAATAGCAAAGCAATATTTATAAAGTATGCGTGGCCAGAATTTGAGCTGGAATGCTTCCAGGAACTGTAGAAAGGACAGAAATTTAACAACTCTGTAAATCTTTCTCTATTTCTTTTTTAGTTTAAAGAAGAACTCCACTTAACACTATAGGGCTGATGTATAAATGTTCCGCCCAGCATATAGCGGGGTGAATGCCATTCACAAGACATTTTCACAACTAGATGGAGCTGCAAAGTATTTCCTATGCTGCTTGGCTCCGTCTGGTTTTTAACATGATCGAGAGACAACTGCCGAACGGGCACACTGCCCTTTCAGCATTGCAGTCAGCATTGCCCTCAGGGGGACGGGCTTGCGATGATCACATGTACGATCTGCCTGTCCAAGATGGGCAGATTGTACGTTTTTTTAATTACTTTACAACCCTCGCAAGACAAAAGTTTTGCGAGGGTTGTATAGTGTATGGGCACCTTTACACAGGACTTTTTCTCTTTGCTCACATGGGTGAAAGGAACAGTGAAGGGAAGGGTAAAAATAAGTAGCTGAAGATCAAGGGAGGTAGATCAATTGAAGTGAACCTGTTGCTGTGCCCTGGAAAGGTCCAGTGTGTGCTCCTGGAATACAAGTGTCTACTTTGGTATTCTTATATGAGTATCTGCAAAAGGCTTTGTATTTTTGTTCTTCCAGTTCTCTGCCACACAGCACACGGTCCCGGCAGGAAACCTGTTGTTATTTCCCCTGCTTCAGTTCACACATAAAAAGTTTAAAAACACAGCGCTATCTCCTCTGTGTTACCTCAATAAACCAAATGTCAGCTGCAGTGAATCAATCAGAAGACCCAAATCCTCTCATCTGAAAATTAATTAGCTAAAAGACACCACCCTATCCCCCCCCCCTATAAAAATGTGTACTACGAATTTTATACACAGAATATTTTTCTGTTTTTGTATGAATCTATATCATTATTTGTTTATTCATGTACATATATGTGTCTTTAACAGATGTATATATGGATGAACTTATTTACACTGATTAATGGCAAAAATATAGGGTTATTTAGTTTAGCACTTTTACACTGCTGCTTACTCTGTAATGAGGATTTAAGTTGTTGAATTCACAATGCACTTATTTGTATGAATTCTATACACAAAATATGTTTCTGTTTTGTATGAATTATCTTTAACGGATGTATATATGGATGAACATATTTACATTGATTAAGGGTATAAATAGAGTGTTATTTAGTTCAGCACTTTTACACTGCTGCTTACTCTGTAATGAGGATTTATATGAAGGAGCATTCAGGGAGTTGGATTTATTATTATTTAGGATGATGTTTTGCACCTTTAGGGGATGGAAATTCTGTGTTTGTATTCTATCCACATATGAATTTCAACCCTCTTTTACTGATATTAGCACACATTTTTATAGGGGGGAAATAGCGCGGTGTCTTTTAGCTATTTAATTTTTTTTTTAATTGCCAGGAGTTTTTTTTTTTTTAAACAGTGGAGAATTTGCATGTCTATCCTCCCTATAAACCCTTTTCCCTCTCTCAGAGCAATTTTTAAATAGTGTACACTGACTGGGTCGCATGTGCAGTGCAGAGTATACCCTGGTTCATCCCTTCTGTCTGTATGATATCAGGAATATATCCAGTGGGCAGTGATGGGCAATTGTTGGAGGAAATGGCAGCACCAGTGGGCAGAGAGGGGAGAGACATCACTGGAGGAGCAGGTGAGTACAGTTCTGCTTTAACTAACACTTACAAGTCTTGTCCTTCGCATAGCCTGTGACTGGACAATGAAAGGAAAAACAGCAGACTGAGGAGCTCATTTCTCCATCACTCTGCTTTCTCCTCCTTTCAGCAGGATTTTTGTTAGCACATGAGCACTGTAGTACAATTGGCTGTCTCTGAATACTGTTTCTCCCTCTCCCATTCTAATCTCTGCTGTAGAGGGACTGCAGGAAACTAATAGCACGGCAATTTCAGGTAGTTACACTGCGTGCATTAAGAAAAATGCAGAGCCGTTTTAACAAGCCTGATGTGCAAGAAAAAAACCATCCCATAATAGTCAGCTATACGTTTCAGTGTTTTTTTAAGGCTGACCAGTGCTTGGCTAACAGCTTATATTGTTTATTAGCACCCCTGTAGCAGTTTGAAATGATTCTCCACACTATACAGGCAGCGAGTTGTTTGCAGTTCAAAGTATGGGAGCCCACATGGTCCAAACCATCACTTCCTTAATGTGATGATGAAATGAATGAGTTTATTAATATTGTGAGAGGTGGTGTGAATGACAATTCAAGCTTTTCAAAGGGCTTTGCTACATGTTTATTACTCTCTGGTTTCAACCTCTCCTCTGGATATTAATAACATGTTTACCTCAGCAATGCATAATCCGATTTAAAAACTTAATTATTGGTGATGTTTTTAAATAGGACTACCCTGAGATAGTCAGATATATTGGACCTGTCTTCTTTGTTTTGGGTCAGAGAATACCAAAGAGAGCAACAAGTAGACATAATGATTAATATAATTGTGGATGAGGTTGTAATAAAGGAATACTCTATATTGCTGTTCTGTCCAAAAGCTAAATAATGTTTGTTTTTTTTCTCTTCTAGAATCTACTAAAGGATGAAGGACATAAGCAGGGAGGAGGAAATGGAAGAACAACTTTTCCTCGATTTTGGAATTCATCATGAGGACACTATTTTACCACTTCATACATCTATAACTCTCTTTCTTATGTCTTACTGTAATTTTAAGACATTGAAAACCAGTGTGGTAGTACCAGAAAGAGACAAACTAGGGGCTCTGAACACATTCATTTTACCCATGGATATTGTTGTTATTTCCAAACAGGACCTTCCACCTATTATTCGTAGTTGTCGTCTGCCTGCCATTCTTGATGCATCTGGTATGTTCTGTAGAGCCGGGTTGGCTGTGGTGCTTAGACATATCATACAAAAATCATACCTTGCGGAGCCCACCAGAAAAGATGTGCTTGAGCTGCTTGGCTTTAAAAAGACGTGCTTAAAAGCCTGTGCTGAAAAAAGTTCATTTGGGGGGGG